ACTTCTTCGATTCAAGAAACAAATTCTCGATATGCCAATCGCCGGAGCTGATGATGAAGCCAGAACACCGCTTCTTACTGAAACCGTTGACGGATCCGTCGACTACCGAAGCAAACCCGCCGTTAGATCTACCTCCGGTGGCTGGAGATCCGCCGGATTAATCATCGGTATCACCTTGATTTTCCCGCCAATTTCGGTTTTTCCTTTTTGACTTGGCCGGAGGTTTTAAATGACTGGTTTTGCTTTTTCCGGCTGAGCGGTTCGCTTACTACGGGATTTCGTCGAATCTGATAACGTATTTGACTGGACCACTGGGACAGTCTACGGCTACTGCTGCTGCTAACGTCAAAGTCCTACATTTCTAAGAGGCTCAACACCATTTAAACCTTAAATTCTCTCTTCCAAATGTCGCAGGTACGCACTCTTTTCTCTGTCTCTACCTGTAATGTTTATATCATACCAATAAATGTAATTCCATGTTGATTAATTATCGGTTTAGTCAAATAGCTTGTAATTTAATCATGTGGAATAAAAGTAGCTCATATTATAAAGACGTAAATTTACAATTTAGAACCAGATATAGACTTTGGAAGTCTTATTCTTGATCTACCCGGCGATACACATACAACCTGGAGAAGATTAAAAACGCAAAGAATCCAACGACGGTGAAAGCGGCCAGCAACCAATAGAAGTAATCGACATGGGCTCGGTTCAGGTTAGTATTGAACCAACTGTCTCCCCCATTTCTTCCGGTAGCCCAATTAATCACAGTGATGAGAAAACCACTCAAAAAGCTCGAAAGACCCATCGCACTCAAAGAGAGCGCAAGACCGATACTCCTTAGCTCCGTTGGGACTTGGTCGTAGAAGAATTCTTGTGTACCCACGAGAGAGAACACATCGATCATCCCGAGTAACAGATACTGAGGGACAAACCACCAGATCGACATTGGCACAGTCGCGTCCGGCTTGTCCACAAGCCCGTATTCTTTAGCAGTCTCGAGTCGTTTCATTTCTACCAATGCGGCAACCACCATATTAAAGCTGGATAGCACCATTCCGGCTCCTATTCTCTGAAGCATTGTGATTCCAGAAGGCTTTTTGGTAATCAATCTAGCTAACGAGAGGAAAACGCGCTCGTAAGTTGGAACCGAGATGAAAATGGATATGCCGATAAGCGCTTGAAAAGAAGCTGGAGGGATTTCCAAACCGGGCAAGATTTGTCTGTCTACTGTAACACCTTGCTTTGTGAAGAAAGTAGCATATTGAGCATATGGAATCGTGCTCACCACGGATGTGATCCATATTGGAATAAGCCTTACCAAAGCCATCGCGTCTTCCACGTCTCTACCATTACATGGCTCTACACCTCCTTCTCCGGATATCAACGCTTTCGCTAGAAACCTTAATTCAAAACGTACACATTTAAGAATACACTAAACTAAATATCAAATGATACAAAATGCTGGATGGGATTTGCGAAACTTACTCGAGCCGACCTCTACATTTCTCAGACGAACCATCCTCCAACAAACCTTGTCCCGAACCCGAATGTGTTAAACTCAGTCTCCGATTCTTATAAGCCACAACGAAAACTCTGCCGATTCTAGCAAAAGTGTTCTTCTCCTTGCGATCACCTTTGGGATATCTATAAGTTTTTCTTCCGAGAAAGAAGAGAGCAAGAGCCATAACCATAAACAAACAAGGAATCCCAAACCCAAGCGCCCAACTAACATTGTCTTGAACATAAACAACCACAATTATCGATAAAGCGATTCCACCAGATAAACTCAAGAACCACCAATTGAAAAACGATCCTCTAGACACTCTCTCTTTCGAATCTCCCGAGTCAAATTGATCCGCACCAAATGCTTGAACACACGGTTTATGTCCACCTTGTCCGATCGCAACCAAATACAGAGAACAGAAGAACAATATATTCACCCAAAATGAATGTTTTGCAGAAACATCGTTACGTTTCTCTGATAGTCCCATTATGATCAAGAAAGACGATAATGTCAATAGTCCTAGTCCCTGTAAAAACAAATAATCGTTCAAAATTAGTGGCGAACAAGTCGGAAATTTCAGAAACTGGAGGTTGAATTTGAGGAGAAACGTACGATTATGTAGATGAAGGAAGCTGCAAGAATTGTCCGGTAACGACCGAGATAAGCGTCTGCTACAAAAGCTCCTAAAATAGGAAGTATCGAAGCTGTTCCCGACCATGTGTTCACGTTTACTGCCGCGGTCGCCGTTGATTTTCCGAGAGGTCCGGTGAGGTAAGTGATTAAGTTTGAGGCAATACCAAAGTAAGCGAATCTCTCTGCAACTTCCACACCTGGAAAATTTTCAGAAAACAAAAATCATAAAACTGACTCCTCTCGATTAGGA